GGGAGTGTCCCTTTAAATAAAGCTATTCATTGCCATGTCGCATGTCATTCATATGGGAAAACGCTGCTTTCTCCATTACATATGTTACAGTGTGTCCGCGAAATCCGTGAGTTCGCAAAGTCACTGGTTGATCCTAGGGACTCCGCGGAGTCACTTAAACTCTCGTGAATCCGCGGAATCACTGCCGTGGCTCCGCGGATTTACTAGAGTTTTCAGTGCGTCCGTGAAGTCACTGAAGAGTCGCGGGGATCTGCGAACTTCCTAGTTAATCCGCGGACTAGCGATTCTTTTTCAGTGAGTCCGCGAACTGCCGATTCTTTTCAGTTATAGGCATACGAGCTAAAATGATTGCAGCGGATTTCAGCCGTCTATAACACTATTCGCGGAGGTGGGTGCGTCTGTCCGTTACCGAGGTCCCAAAACGGTGAACATACACACGGTAGACACCTTCGGTTGGATGGACCCCCCATGGTTTTTCGCAAATTTCTCGTGAAACAAGCAGCTGATCGCAACGAAACTTCTAGTACCCTCGAGTTCATCAATTTTACACCTAACCTAAAAAATTCATGACCCTGACCTAACTGACCTTTTGACCAATGACCTATTTCTCGAGACCATGTTTGACCAGAATCGCGATTCAGCGTATGCCAGCTCACATTATCATGCGCGCTTCCAGTCCTTTTGTGGTTTTAAACGTTCAAACATGTTGTAATGATGCTGGTGCAATGCAGTATTTATGGTGGTATTTATGGTGGATGACAAGGTCACGTTAATGTCAGGTCAAGGTCAATAACCTTTGATGACCTTGGTTCGCTTTTTGAGTTTTACTTGTTTCTAGAGTAGTTTCTGGAGCTGATTTCGAACTAAACAGCCATTTGAACATTTACGAAGAATTTTTGATGCCTTCGTAACATCTTACGAAGCTGTCAGTGGTAGGCAACACCTACTTTGAATAGCAGGCAGGACGCCTATTGGTTGACCTGACCTAGCCCATAACCCGACCTGGCATAGGTAGGTATATTGCATGAAGCCATCGTCTGTGATCACAACTAACATGAAACTCGTGATCAACACCCCGAACTATGTACCCCCGTAACACCCTCACTTTACGAAGTTCTAAGGAGGTCCCGATTTTCCCAACTTTTCATGGGTCATTGACCTGACTTGGAAAGCTAAGTAATGACCTTGGACTTTGGAATTAGATATATTCGGCTTTCTCTCGTCATAAGCAGCACGCTTGATTTTTCGCGAAGCTCTAGCTTGATCAGGGGCCAAACAGGTGGGCCAGGGTCCAACTGACCCCCTATACTATGTTGATTAAGATTATGTGCATTAACATAGAAGTAACATGCTCTCACCAGAACACACCAGTCAACATCTGTGCAGCATCTGGCTACAATTCTAGTTTTGGTGACTCAAGGTAGTCAAGGTTTATCGTATATGAAGTCATTCATGGTATATTAGGTCATTCCGACGCGTTTTAGTGGGAAAAAGTCAGGCAGTTGATTTTCCCCCATTGACTCATAATGGGGAGGTCAAGAAATAGACCTGACCTTAGATCACCGATATCGAAATTCCGAGATAAAAAATTGTAGCCACCAATGACCTAATTATTCCTGCAACTGTCAAAGGACTCCGTCATCTGCTGCAGCTCGGACACGGCGACGAAGTTGCAAAAAAGTGATTTGAGGTCAGGTTATTCGAAGTGACCTGGTGACTTGACCTTGAAAGGTAGGAGGATCAAATTTGCACACTGTGTAAAATTGATGCGGGAATAGTCATGCAAAATTTTTTCGCAATGCTACGCACCGCGTTTTTTTTTTCGTTATTTACGAATTTTTTTTCAGGGGGCGGATATACGCCTCCATCCGGTCGGTGTGCGGGTTAACTACCATTCGCAAGTGTGAGCTCAAGGTCCATTCAGGTAGTTACCTAACTATTTACAGCAAATACCCACGTTTGAAGTGGAAGTGTGCGGCGCACAAGTTTTTTTATAAGCTAGAAAAAAATATTATTTAAGATTTTTTTTATAAAACTATAAAGCTAGCAGGGTACCTCTACGTAACAATGTAACATAAAACTTACCAAATGTCCCGAAGCTTTTATTCCGATAGACTGATATTGCCATGCCGGCCAACGCACAACAGGACCACCATATCGGCAACATGATTCGGTTCCAATTGTCTTTGAGCCTCTATGAAAAGTCGGGATAAGAACTCAATAGCGTTTTTTTGGACACCTCTGAAAAAAGAGTCGGTATTCCGCGGATTCACTGAAAAAGAATCGCTATTTCGCGGATTACCTAGGAAGTTCGCAGATCCCCGCGACTCTTCAGCGACTTCACGGACGCACTGGAAACTCTAGTAAATCCGCGGAGCCACGACAGTAATTCCGCGGATTCACGAGAGTTTATGTGAGTTCGCGGAGTCCCTAGGGATTTCGCGGATTAACTAGTAACTTCGCAATCTCACGGATTTCGCGGACGCACTGTAACACATACAAATACAGGCCATCAACACAATCAACAGACATTGACACGGAAGTGATGACGTCATTCTAGACCATCACATTGCCCCCTGGCATTACTAACGCTGACATCACACTGCCGACTGGTGACGTCATACACCGCCAGATAACGCCGCACTCATTGGTTGGACGGGCATCCGGAGCCTGAGATGACATCATCGCGAGGCGTGGAGGGATGCTGTTGAAGAACAGAGATGTCACCTGACGAACACAGTCGTCTGTGGTCTGGTGAGGAGAGCTGATTACTTTATGTCATGGGAAATGGGATTTTATGGAATGATCCGAGCTAGAAGGTAATTGCTGAAGCGAAGGATTCATTAATATTTGTATCATCAACGTGTTATCATGTCCAGATGTTTCAGGTTTTTTAACTAGATGATTTGAAGTGAGAAAGATGAGAAAATGAAGACCTGTACTGTAAAATGCACACTGCACTACGCTGCACTCCACTCACTCAACCGACACTCACACGTACCACTCACACGCATTGCACTCATTCATGTACCCTGCCAGCACCCTACCCCTTTCCTTTCTCCTCACCTCTCGTCTCCATTCACTTTCACAGCTCACCCCTTTCCACCTCACCAGGCTCCTCAATACGTGGATCAACAGACCGCCATTCCCAGATGGCCGGCCGTATGCTGATTTGGACAGTCCCTCAATGCGTCTGAGTTCTCCGACGGTACCCAGAGGGGAGCGGGAGACGAACCGACCCCGTCCGACGGTACAGGTGACAATATGGAACGGCGCCGGCACACGGTCATAAACGAAAACAAGTCGGCTTTTCTGCGACTGCTGAAAGCTTTGATCACACATAAAACGGCGATAAACTTTGATTCGCCCGACTCAACTGATGATATACTCGGCGATAAAATTACTGAGCGCTGGGGCATAATAAGCGTTTTATGAGTGCGAGCCGGCGCGTGCATGAATAGGCCCGGTGGTGAGATGCGTGACTGGCACTTGGCCAGGGAAATTCGGCGGAGCGGCGCTTTGTCGTCCGCCGCCACCGTTTGAAAAGGGTCACAAACCTCCGAGCAAAGAGCCCAAGGTGAGAGGAAAATACACTGGACGGATTCACATCAGACTGTAGTAAAAGCTGCTGCTTTGATTCTCCAGTCCCGGCTTGGTCACTCTCGCTACATAGCAAAAATAATTATTTGGCTTGATTTTGCCAAGCGAAGTTAAGAAGGAATTTGACTGGCAATTAGAGACCAATCACTGAGATAAATGCTGCGGTTACTGTTCGCTTCTGAAGTCGTCGAGCGACTACCATCTCCCGTGATAAGTGGCTGCGGAGTGCCGGAGTGCAAGAGTCCCTGGTTGTACCCGATCTCCGCCGGTCTGGTGAGCGATATAACGGCGCCGTCACTCTCCGGCTCAGCATTCTGCACCGCTCAGCGGCCGCACTCAGCCGCAGCACGATGAGAACGGACTACTAAATGCGCGCCGGCCGCCGTATTAAATAAGGCTCAGCCTGAGCCATCGGCCGGTGATCGCGTCATTACCATGCGACAGAAGCAGACTGTCGCGGCTCAAACGGATATCAGGACGGTAATGTACCGTCTCCAATGCTGGTTTGTGGCCATCGGACAGGAATGTCGATGCCAGAATATAGTACCTTTCTAACACGGAGGCAATGATGGCAAATAAAGACGGTTGCTTCTGTTATAGCTCCATTGACATTCCATTGTTGTCACTATGTTAGAGCGGGTCTGTTCATTGGGTATTGTTGTATGTAAATGATATGAATGAACGGTGAAACGGTGGCTATTGTCCTGTTTTGTTACTTTTACTTGATGCCATTAACCTCGAGCCAGGGTGACTAAATACACATAAGCATAAGTGTGTGAAATAGAAGGAACGTAGCATGCAAAACCTTACGCATGCCATGCGTTCACATTCAATTAAGATATTTTTGCACCTCATGTCTACCAATATATTCTTTACATTGAAAGTTAATCTGTAGAAACTATACATTGTTACAACTGGAATAATATTTGTTTATGAAAATGGAGCACAGCCCACTTGCAGCTGTGCATCCGGCTGGTTCCCGGGTGACTATCAGTTGTTCCGACCGCGTCCGCTTCCGCCACTGGCGCTCTGACGAAAGCCCTGAACTCACCAACCACATCATCCTCCGTCTGACGGATGGGCCCAGCGCAGTCTCTGTATGTAGGTACTGTATCTATCCTATACAGCCGGCAGACTCGCTGTATCAAACTCGAAACCATATCGTTCGGTATCTGACCGACTTGACGCTGTTTTACAATCTGTACGTAAGTGTGCAATTGAAGATGAAACTGTGTCATGGAACTTTGTATGATATTTGACAGTCTTGGAGGGCATTTCAGGGTATGGAAATGACTTGAAGATGCCAGCTGAAATACAGTGTAAGCTTTCGTATGGCAATTGTAATAGTGTGTGGCAACCTTTTGCACAGCATAGCCTATCCAAGTATTGTCGAATCAGCATTCATTTTAACATTTTATTGGAAAAGTAAAAAAGCAATTGAGAAAAGAAACATTCATGCACGTTTAGCGACAATTTGCGAACAACTGTTAAACATTAGATAAGAACTGAGATAAAATTATAAAGGAATATGGTAAGATGAAGCAATTTAAATGAATGACTTACATTATAGTCGATCGGGCGCCACACAGATTCCCAGGCCTGGAACAATAAGAGCACATCGGCAGACACATCTTATAAGCACAGGTGCAATATCACACTCGACTTAAAGCTCTGAATACCAAAGTCTTTGAGGTCTACGTGGTATACAGAGGTCTACGCTCTCGCGGAATGCGCATTGCCCATCGTTCTTTGACGTCACAGCCAGACGCGCCCGCAATCACCCGACCTCGCCGCTCGCTGTAAGGCGTCCCACGCTCCCCGTGCCGCGCCGTCACGTCCTCACTCCACGACGGTGCTCAGCCGCTTGAACTCCTCGACCACCTTCTCCTCCAGGAGCTGGTCGCGCTTGGTTCGCTTGAAGAAGCCGGCCCGGTGCATGACGAAGACGATGACGGCGAGCAGCAGCAGCGCTCCGAGCACCGCGAGGACGATGATCCAGACGGCCAGCGGCTGCGGCTCGAGCGCCGACGGCAGCAGCTCGGTGGAGACGGCAGCGCGGTCCGGCCGCCGGTTCACCTCCGGCGCGATGCCGGCGCTGTTGCGGATGTGCACGAAGCCGTGTGTGACCAGGGCGGCGGCGCTGCGGCCGTCCAGCAGCGGGCGCAGCGCGCGCACGTCCAGCCGCATGCTGAGCTGCACGGTGGCGCGTGTGGCCGTATCGGGAAACGCCACCAGCTGGCACGTCATGCGCACACACTGCACGCGCGAGCCGCTCGTACAGTTGAGCAGGTGGGTGCCGTTGGCTCGGAGCTCCTCCAGGGACACGTCTGCTTCACGTTTTCGGCGTGAAACCGTTTCGTTGTGACCTGGCTCAAGGTCTTGCACATCCGGTTTCAGTGGTCGAAAGAAGGTCATGTTTTGCAATGAGCAGCTGAACGGCCGGCCTCCTATTTGTGCCGCAGGTGGGTATATTTCCAAGAATCTGACTCTATCTCCATCGTTGTCGAAATCGACAGGGATGAGGAAGGAGATGACAGCAGCTTCCACCGGCGTCGGCAGGTATTTGAAGATCTGGTAAGTGTGATTGATAATTAGGAAGTAAGGCTCTTCTTTCTCTTCTGGTTTTCGGTCTTCCTCCTTGTGATAAAATACTTGATCCTGCACAGCTTTGCCGACTATTTCCATGTCTGCTTCACTCCGCAATGCCAGTGTGATGTTGGCGATGTTATCGAGTGGATTAGTTTCAACACCTGTGGACGTGACCGATACATTGAACTTCAGACTATTGTGGTGACTGGTAACGTCTGTGACGTCAAGGCTGAGAACCAGCCTAAACTCCGAGGTGTCATAGAAAGGATGTGGCTGCACAATACAAGTCACGCTGACCGAAAGCTGACCGGAACTTTGCTCTTGGCATGACGGCGGTATCCGCATCAGGGTGACCGGTGACGGCACCATTACCGTCAGGCTGGGCAGCGACGCCGGCTCGCCGCCGTTCGTCAACTTGAGCTCCAGATCCAGCGTCTTCGTGGAACCGATGACGTAGGTGTTGCTGGTAGCAGAGAGGAAAGAGTACGCCAGTCGTAGGTCTGTGTTACAAATTGAATCTGCTCCACACCCGACAGCAAATGGAACACTCAGCAAGGTCAGCTGTTGGCTGTCCATGTGTACGTTTGGAACGGGACAAGAACTGCAGAAGTCGTCAATCCTCTCCAAGTCGGACGGAAAGGACACCTGCCTCTTCCCTCTTCTGTTGGGTGTGGATGCGGGCGAACGCTTGGAAGTGTCCGTGTTTATAATCACTGCTTGTTCGCCTGACCGACTACTGACGCTTGTCATCAGCATGTACCTCATGCTCAGCTGGATGGGCTTATTGAAGTCGATCAATGATCCCTCCATGCGGATTGCGACAGTGTACTGCTGGCATTTCTGATTGTCCTTCGTCACTTTCCATCTTTGTGACGTAGAGGACTCGTCCTGTCCATCCACAACCAAAACGCTCTGAGCGTGAAAAGATTCCACCTTCAAAGTCACGTTGACAGCAACTATGGATGGTACGTATTGACCGTGAAATGTCAGACACGCCTGCACCTCGAACTCCCTGGTGTCCGCCTCCAGCTTCTCCGGCTGGGCGGACAGTGTGGCGGCGAACTGAAGCACGGGTCGGGTGCGCAGCAGCACAGCGTCGCCGCTGGCGTAAGACCCCACGGCCACGTCCGGGTACCGGTTGCCGTCCACGTCCACGCCCCGCGAGAGGCTGATGCCGAAGCCGCGCAGGTCGGCGTTGAGCTCGCTGGCGGCGATCCGCTGTGAGGCCGTGGTGACAAAGTCTCCCGGTCCGCCCCGGAACACGTACACGGCACCCCGGCCGTCCTCCTCGTAAGGGGCACCGACGGCGAAATCGAAGAAGCCGTCGTTGTCGATGTCACCCAAAGAAGCCAGAGTACTGCCGAAACGTGCGCGCAGCGCTCCGCGGCCCACTGTCGTACGAGCCGACTTGAACTGGGCGCGGTCTGAGTTGATGTAGACGTAGATTCGTCCATGCTCAAAGGCGCTGCCCTCGCCGAAATGTGGTGCTCCGACAACCACATCGCTCAGACCGTCTCCGTTCAGGTCCACGGCTAACACCGCGGCGCCGAAGTACTCGCCGACTGTGGATCCTTCCCATGTCATCATGATTTCGTACGGCTCGTACACATTGCGTGGGAAGTCGAACAGCAACACTCTGCCCTTTCCATCCGCAGCCCGCGGCGCACCGGCCACATACACAGTCGACTTTGTTGAGCTGAAGAACCTGCCAGATCCAACAGAATAGCCTAGGTAATCATATCTGTTGAACTGTTCAGTCACGAATGGGTTTGGAATGATGAGCTCGCTGAGATCATTGGCCTGTCGCCTCCGTCGCTGTCTTCCGCCGCCTTCTTCCGTCTCCTCGAAGGCGCTGTACCTGATCAGGGTGCCCGTCCAGTCGAAGACGCCCGGCGCTCCGAGGATCAGCTCGCGCCCGTTGTCGGGGAAGTGCACTGATGTGCCGGCCTGGCCGTACGAGTAGTAGTACACGTGGCGGTATTTGTAGGTATCCGGCAGCTGGAAACTCTGTTTGGTGGTTTCGTACAGCGGGACAAACTTCTGAAACGTGTTGTCGCCAACGGGAGCATCAGCCAGGTAGCAGACTCCGTTGCCCAGGTACTGGTTGGAATAGTGCCTGTTTCGCCAGCGGAAGCCGCTGACGGCGAGCCTGCCGGTGCCGCCTGGCTCGGCGTCCATGGCGCCTCCCAGCCAGCCCTGGTCCTTCAGGTCCGTGTACAGCCGCTGTCGGTTAACGTCGTTACCGGTCGGATCGACGAGCACCTCCTGGCAGGCGGCGCCGCGACGCAGCGGACACTTGAACACGGCGCCCGGCTCGAGGACGCGTGACGGCGGGTTCAGGCCCAGGGTGGAGTTGGCACGCGGCGCGCCCGCGAGCAGCCAGGGACCGTCGCCCATGCCGACGCCAGCCAGGCTGACTGAGTAGCCGAAGTAGGTGTCTGCGCGCGTCTGCCGGCCGGTCGGGTCGGTCACCGGGCCGCGGAAGATCACCGGATGTGCCGTGTCCACGTTGAAGCCGGTGGTTAATGGAGACACCATCAGCACCAACACCAGTACCGGCACCGGCACCGGCACCGGTGCAGCTCGCACTACACGCGGAAACGCCATCAAGACACCGTCGCCTGGCCAGCCCGACTCGTGCCGCGCCACAACGTCTTCTGCTGCTGGCGGCACGGATGTCAGCTCCGATAACGATTGCCGCCGCCTCCTGGAAATGGCTACCGGATGTGCCGACTCCGTATCTGTTGGAACAGCTGCCCATTCCCTGCTGCTGCTCCGCCCGTCGCCACTGCCACTGTCATACCGGGCCCACTAGTTACATTGCCGTACCACCACAACCTATCGCTGAGTCACCTTGCTAAGACTGGATTGTGGGGCACACCACAAGTCGGGCTTACCAATGTTTAATGATCATGAGACTTATGCACATTAAATCAGAGGTAGAGGACATGACTTGTTGCGTGTTTATGAACTAATGAAAGCCGGTCTAAAAAGACCCAAGTCAAAAACATAAGGCTGAAAAGAAAGGATTAGTGAAAAGTCAACGAAAAAATCAAACAATAGCACAAGCGGAACCGGAACGTCGAGAGAACCAAGAGTTCATTCGCCAAACCAATCGTGCTTAGGCGTCAACGTACACATGGAATACTAGGAGCCCGGCCGGAGAGCGGGACGCCGAACGACCGTCGCGCACGAGAATTCAGCGGCAAGATGCCGCTGCGGAGCGGCGGCGAGGAGCGGACAATGTGCAAAGCGCTGGGACGTCACAGACTACATACGTCACGGTTACTCCAGGTTACCCCGCCGCGGTTCGCCGCAGTGGGGAGGGGCGACGGCTCGGCGCGGGGCACCGCAACTTCATGTGGAGCAGGTATAAGGCTTAGTCTTACAGCCCCCGTAATTGAAAACGCATATCTTCATGTCATGATGTTGAAGGCACATTGGTGGAGTATTCCGGCTACGTGCGCTGGTGTCACTTGGTCACATTGTCGGTATGATGTCACTTTGTCGGTACGATGGTTTGTTCTTGGTTGCACGTGTCGACGTGAAGACTTGTTCCTAATCTCAAACGCCGCTGCTGCGAGGCTAGTTTTCGAGCAAACAAACAAACCGAGCACGACCTTCGGAACGTTTCAGCATAAAAGTAAATAAAGTCGCTCACTCACAATCGGTGGTCAGATCATCACGGCTGCGAGTTGTGACAGAGCTCCACGCAGCAGAACCACCGGGCACCAGGGTCAGCCCAAACCAAAGGCATCATGAAATAATGAGACATACATACTCAGCTACTTATCATTGCCGGAAAGTGTGGGGGCCAATAAATGGGGAGCTTTGTTAGATCCAATACACAAATAAACAAATTGTCTCGTCACTCGTGCTTTAGGACCGTTTGATTCTAATAACGTCATTTGATTTCCTTTCATATTTCATTCTCCTTTACAGTATTTTGCGGATACCAACCTAATAACTAGATAATTGCATTGTAGCTTTGTTACGAATTGGTTGGTAGAGGTCGAGCTTTACCACCACAAGCAAATAAGACCAGGGAAGACATTTTAACAAACATAATGTGTGTATAATTGTAGAGTACATAGGTGTGAGTAACGAATGCACAGAACCTGTCGCCAAGCACCTGTCCCAGACCTATTACAAGCTGGAGCCAACTGGCTGGCCGTCTAACTGAGAGTTGCCGCCCGCCGTCCTCTGGAGCACGCCTTGGTGCTTTGTCCTTGCGTCGGTGGCGCGTGGGGCGGCGCGCGCGCTCGCCGGGAATGTCGCACCCCGCCGCGCCGCGCGCCAGCGACCCGTCCACGACCCACGCAGAAGACGTCAGCCGGTCTCTATCGGGCGCCGATCGGCGGCCGGCGCCGGCGGGGGCCCCAGCCGCCGCCCACCCCTTTATTTGTACCCGTCGCCACCACAATGCCGGCTGTCAGTGGCACGGAACGGAGCGCGTGCCTCGCCGTCCGCTCGGCGCCGCCTTCCGAGCGGCATCGCTCGAATACCGGGACGAGCTCAGCTCACCAACGGGACCAGCGCGCTGGGTGTGCCCGACGCTCGATTCAGGACATCTCGAAAGAGCGAACAGTCTGATTTGTCTGATTCTTCAGTTACACCCTCCAGCGTGGGCCAACCAGTTCTGTCTCCCGTCGGGGCAACCGATCCAGACAGATCTCTTCCCGGCTACGGCCGGCGGGTTATCCGCTCCAGACGAATCACTCCCCGTTCTGCGGGGGTCGGCTGTTTCGCTCCAGATCTGTCCGCTCCCCGACCCTATCTGATCCCATCAGTGCTGACAAATGGTGGCAGAGGGACCCCGCGGAGGGAATCTCTGACCTCTCCGACAGGTCTGACCGCACGGCCGACCGTCTCAGTTTCGACTGTTCATTTCTCAGGCGCCTGCCGCCAGGCCAGTACGCTGCCATCTGCACCAGGAAGCAGGATACCACGAGAGCTAGTTAAACACGGTATCGGCGCTGAAGTCGCCTCAGCACCCTGCCCATATCATAGGGGTCATATCTCGACTCCCGGAATCCACTTATGATAGATGCTTCAAGCGAGTAATAGCAATGCATCGATACCGTGAAAAACTCCTTGGTCATCACTCACACATCTGCAAGGAACTGTGTACTTGTACATACGTGTTAAAGGTAGTGTGCCAGCTTTCCTGGACCGTATGGAGTTAATGGCCCAGATAAGGAGAACCGGATTTTTAGAACTTATCCATACCATCAAAACTCATGAAAACGTCTTAAATTCTTCAAATTTTGAGTACCCCAGTGCGAAATTCGCCCCGACGGGTTGTCGGTCGTACCCCAACCACATTTCACACCACTATGAACAATAAATGCACACACTGAAATCGCTATTACCGATATGCTCATCCAATCAAGTTTCGATAAACCCGTTCATCATCATCTCCTGCGGTTTCGAACACGCCTGTTAGGTGGTGCGGTAGACAGCGCCCAAAGCCAGGGCCCCGGTTACGTGAGGTAGCCGAGTCGGGGCAGCGTGCGCTGACCCAAGCCGGGGCCGCGCGTCCTCCCGGTGTCATGTGATAGCCCGGGGCTGCCCGCGGGGATGCGGTAGACCGCGCCCAAAGCTGCGGCCCCGGCTTGGGTCAGCGCACGCTGCCCCGACTCGGCTACCTCACGTTACCGGGGCCCTGGCTTTGGGCGCGGCTTCTGCTCATACTTTGTGGTGCGGTGGTGGTGCGTCGGGCCGCGCGCTCTGACTTCGGCCAAGAAAAATGCGTCAGCTGATCATTGTGATTTCTGCCACTTGCGTGTGGTGAAATGGGGTCATAACTTAAGAGACGGCTTTTTCATATCAATTATTTTACATAAAATCATATTTCAAACTATAAATGATGTTCGACAGCCAAATAAAAGAAACAATACCAATACAGGCTTACAGTTTAAGGCTCGACATTGTGTTGTCTACGATTAGACAGCTGATAACTCATTCCCGTACGTCGTAACTCTATAATGACTTTTGCTTATTGTCACATGTGCGCCGCATTCGCGATTGTTGCCGACGCCTGTTTGCAGGTCAGCCCACTACAGTTGTTATACATATCGAAAAACCGATAAACTTTTAGCCGAAAAAGGCACTATTCCAGGCCCATTTTTGATTTTCTTTGCGATATTAGGTAAAAACAGAAGCTTCTTATCCTAGGAAAAATAAAATGGGAAATCTTTCAAAGGTGGCACACTACCTTTAAGGCCGCCGTCCACTGTGCGGAACGCGTGCGGTCCGTACGGAATTTAACACAGAACCCTATGGGCGCATCCGGTCCGTACGGAAATCGTGTGCGCTCCGTCCGGACCGCATCCGAACGGCAATCAGCTGTTGATTTTCCGTCAGCTCTCCGCATGCGTTTCGGATGCGGTTGCTACGGAGACGGAAGAGTGATGTCCGACGCGTTGAACTTTTCTGCGGAAAACGCATCCGGAACGTCCGGAACAGACGTGGTTTGGGGCCGTATCGGAGGCAAACATTGTGAATTGTACGAAGAATTTGAACTCGATCATCATGAAGTGAGTAAAAATTATTTCCTTAGAATGGCAAGAGTATTCGCTGCTGGTTACTTGCAATATTTTATTTGGTAATAAGTGATAGGAAACATTTATTAGCTCTCCGCATCCGGACCGCATCCGGACCGCATCCGGACCGGATGCGGCCAGCGTGCGGCGACATTCCGGACGGACTCCGGACGGAATTCCGTCGCAGTGGACGGCGGCCTTAACTGTAGGTAGGTATGGATGACGCTAAATTCGTACAACATGTCGCAGCGGAAATGCGGGTCATGGACCAGTTAGCTCGTCATTCTGATTAGACACACATAGCCGGCGAAAATTGTTAGTTGTCATGGACATTGGCCAGTCAAGTTAACGGTGTTGGCCGTTGGGAGTACTCATTTCATGCCTATGTTGAAAGAAAAATCAAGTCTTTGCAGGCTTTTACTCGCATTGCTCTAGAGCTGTTGATAAGGTAATATTGGATAAATTAAACACTAGAATCACTTCTTCCACGATATGGAAATATCAGTCCACCGTCCATTTAATTTGCATACTTTTTGTTCATTTTAATGTCCGTATTTCTGGCCTCTGAATTTGCAAGACTACCGGGCTTTATGCAAACCCCGTAACTTGCTGCTATAAAACTGACCATATTTTATTCTATGCCACCTCTCGCATTCAGCAGAACAAACATGTTTATTGCGACTGACTGAGACTCGCGCAGCTGTCAATGCCGGGTCTTCGTGTGAGAGGTTCGGCTGTCTGGGCGCGCGCAGCGCTGTAAAATCGGCCGCTCTTTGTCGCCGCTCGCGACGGCCAGACGTCACTAAAATCCTCCACCGACCGGCCGCCAATGGATTCCGCCATTTCATTTCAATTTCCCGGCGATACGCATTCGGTCGAGGTTTATGCGCCTGCGTCCCATTCAGTGGCGATAAACGATCTAATTTGATTTGATTTTACGAGGCCGGCGCTACATTGTGGCTGGGCGAGGAATGCATCTGTCGGCGGCCTATCGTGTTGGTGATCGCGCCCCAACCCTTTGACGGGAAGCCCGGGCGGCCACCTGGGCCGGTGACGATCGTAAAACGGAGCGGCCCGACCGAGAGACGCGACCGGGCGAGAGGAAACGGACCGGGTGACGCGAATGGACGTAACGATATCGTCAGAACTAAAGATGCTAACTCGTAAGCCCAGCTCCCGATCAAGGAAAGAGTCTAACCAAGAGATCATATTTTTTTCATCGCAGCACTTACGAAAAAATATTCTTCTTTTTTGGTACGCAAAGACACTTCACGTGTCTTCAATTCAAATCCTCAATGGTGGCGACGATGGTGGTAGGACTCGCGTTCAACAATTCATCGTCAGAAAACGAGCCGTTGGGACAGATTTGCCAGATTTGCTTATGAAGTAGGATTTGGAAAGTCAAGTGTTTTCAAGTAAAGCCGTGCTTAATCATCACAAAATGTTTTGAAAATACTAGGCGAAATGTAAACAATAATTGGTTGTAGCTGCGAAAAAATTCGACGTAGGCAAGCTGCTACGTGTTACTCATGGATTACTCATATTCCTTCCTGTTTTGCACAGCGCTTCCTCTGATCCTATCCGTTTTTGAGGGGGCTGACATCACGTTCGTCTGAGAGTCACTGCTCCGTATCTGTCGAGTGCCGGTATCACGCTATCAGTGGCCGGCTCATATCCGGTAGAACGGAGTCGTGGTGCGAGGCGATATCAGGCGCCGCCAGTTCTCTGTCAACACCAGCCGTCTCTACATGGCGTTTCCGCGTGTAGTGCGAGCTGCATCGGTGCTGGTGCCGGTGCCGGTGCCGGTGCCGGTGCTGGTGTTGGTATTGGTGTTGGTGCTGATGGCGCCTCCATTAACCACCGGCTTCAACGTGGACACGGCACATCCGGTGATCTTCCGCGGCCCGGTGACCGACCCGACCGGCCGGCAGACGCGCGCAGACACCTACTTCGGCTACTCAGTCAGCCTCGGAGGCGTTCGGGAAAGTGACGGTCCCTGGCTGCTGGCGGGCGCGCCGCGTGCCAACTCCACCCTGGGCCTGAACCCGCCGTCACGCGTCCTCGAGCCGGGCGCCGTGTTCAAGTGTCCGCTGCGTCGCGGCGCCGCCTGCCAGGAGGTGCTCGTGGACCGCACGGGGAACGTGCCTGACCCCGAGAGGCAGTACACGGACCTGAAGGACCAGGGCTGGCTGGGAGGCGCCATGGAGTACGCCAGTAACGGCTGGTTCGCCACGAGCGCATTCCGGTGGCGCAATACCAAGTACCCCAACAAGTACCTGGGCAATGGTGTTTGCTACGTGGGCACTGACTCCGTGAGCGACGACAGCTTCCGAAAGGAAGTGCCACTCTACGATAAGAACAGTCAGAACTATATTCTTCCTGATCGACGCTTGACGTACTTTTATTCGTACGGTGAGGCCGGCACGTCTCTTCACTTCCCCGATAACGGTCACGAGCTGATCCTGGGAGCGCCGGGAGTGTTTGAGTGGACGGGAACCATCATTAGGTACAGCGAGGTGGATGACCTAACTGTAGGACCGACTATTCCCAATCCGTATTTGACTAAGACCCTCCAGAATTACGACTACTTTGGGTACTCTGTCGGATCGGGGCGCTTCTCCAGCGACTCTCATGACACGCTGTACCTGGCGGGCGCGCCCCGCGGAGCCGAAGGAAAGGGCCGCGCTCTTCTAGTCGACTTTCCGCTGCGAAATGACCAGCCCTTCTCTATCAAGGCCGACTGGGTGGGCTCCAGTCTCGGGGAGTACTTTGGCGCCGCCGTGCTGGCCGTTGACATCAACGGCGATGGACTGAGCGACGTTGTAGTGGGCGCTCCACTCTTTCAAGATGGCATCTCTGTTGAACAGGGTAGAATCTACGTCTACATCAACGCAGACCACGGTCTATTCAAGTCGGCTCGGACGTCCGTAGGCAGTGGAGTGTCGCACGCACGTTTCGGCAGTACTCTGGCTTCGTTGGGTGACATCGACAACGACGGCTTCTTCGATTTCGCCGTCGGTGCCCCTTACGAGGAGGACGGCCGGGGCGCCGTGTACGTGTTCCGGGGCGGACCTGGGGACTTTGTCACCACGGCCTCACAGCGGATCGCCGCCAGCGAGCTCAACGCCGACCTGCGCGGCTTCGGCATCAGCCTCTCGCGGGGCGTGGACGTGGACGGCAACCGGTACCCGGACGTGGCCGTGGGGTCTTACGCCAGCGGCGACGCTGTGCTGCTGCGCACCCGACCCGTGCTTCAGTTCGCCGCCACACTGTCGGCCCAGCCGGAGAAGCTGGAGGCGGACACCAGGGAGTTTGAGGTGCAGGCGTGTCTGTCTTACGACGGCCCATTCCTTCCCATGAGTGTGAGAGTCAACGTTACTTTAAAGATAGAGTCTTTCCACGCACAAAGTGTTCTGGTGGTGGGAGGCGAGGACGTGCGCTCATCCACTGACGTTTGGCAGCTGAGCGCCTCCAAAGCTACGTGCCGCACATACTCTGTGGCGATTCGCTCTCAGGATAGGATTGATGTCACGAAACCAATCCAGCTCAGTATGCGGTACAACTTGCCATCGGACGGTGCTTTGACGTCGGGGGAGAATGCTCTGTTTATTGATACAGACACCAGAAAGCGTCCAGCAGGTCTCCGAAGAAAACGAAGACAGATAGAATTTCCTAGCAGCCTCCAAGGCATCGACGACTTTTGTAGCTCGTGTCCGGTGCAAGACACCAGCAAGAACAATCAACAAATGATGACACTGATGGTACCGTTTGCCAATGGTTGTGGCCCTGATTCTGTTTGTCGCACTGACCTCCATCTTTCCTTTGCCTTTCCTGATTTGAGTGATAACGTGTACGTCATCGGTTCCACGAAGACGCTGGATCTGGAGCTCAAGTTGACGAACGGCGGCGAGCCGGCGTCGCTGCCCAGCCTTACCGTAATGGTGCCGTCACCGGTCACCTTGATGCGGATACCGCCGGCCTGTGAGGAGGATAAGATCGCACATGGTGATACTAAGCTCACGTGCTCAGTCCAGCCTCATCCATTCCTTAGTGATTCGAAATTCGAGATCAGCATTCCTTTGGATGTTTCCTCGGTGACGAGCAAGTTCACCAGTCTCAAATTCAACGTGTCGGCTACATCCACCGGCGAGGAGCAGACTCCGGGTGACAACGTGGCCAACATAACTCTCGGACTTCTCAGTCAAGCTGATATGGAAATTGTAGGAAAGGCTTTTCAGGACGAAGTTCTCTATACCAAAGAAGAGGAGCTTACGGAAGATAACAGGGACAAGGCCGAATATCTTGACATTCAACACACCTTCCAAATATTGAAGTACCTTCCAACACCCGTGGAAAGAGTCTCTCTATCATTTCTAGTACCCGTGAATATCACTATTGCTGGCAAGCCTGTCAACTTTCTGCGAATGTATCCGCCGACGGCGCTGCTGGGCGGGGAGCCGTTCAGCTGTTCGCTGCAGGACGGGGACGTTCTCCGGTCCGGAGGACCTGAGACACCCGCTCACTGGTCCCAGCCGACCACCGCGCCAGCCCGGAGACGGCGCAGCGCCGACGGCCCGGCGGACGGCGCGCCGGCTGCCTCCGACGCCTATCCGCTGCGGTGCTCGGAGGGCTCCGACATCCAGTGCGCCCGCATCGCCTGCCAGACAGTGTCCTTCCTGGACACGGTCACGCAGGCCACCGTCACTCTGAGCATGCGCCTGGACGCCGCCGCGCTGCGGCCGCGGCTGGGCGGCGCGGCCGGCGCCAGCCTGTTCACCGAGGGCGAGGTGCGCCTCCTGGAGGGCTCGCACGTCCCCCCAGAGTTCAACAGTCGACCTGACACGGCCTCAGTGGCGACGCGGCTGCTGCCGAGCACGCCACAGGCGCAGCCGGTGGCCGCCTGGATCATCGTGGTGTCGGTGCTGGCCGCGCTGGCGCTGCTCGCCGCCATCGTGTTCGGCATGTACCGGCTGGGCTTCTTCAAAAGGACGAAACGCGACCAGCTGCTGGAGGAGCGTGACGGAGCTGCCGGCGAGACGGACAAACTGAACTCGGGGGAGCAGTAAAACGGCCGGGACTCCGGAAACCGGTGGCGTTGTCCCGCAGGCTTAGGATGTGAAAACTGAGTGTAGGTATGTTAGGTCAGGCTCCTGAAAGAGTATGAAACAACTGATGGAAGATAATGTTTTCCCTTTTACAAGGGGCGGGGGAGAATGCGACGAAAAGGGGAACTATACTTTAATTAGGCAAGCACAGAACACTGTTGCCCCGATAAATCAGACTGGATGCGTGTTTTATGATGTGCAATGTTTATAACTCCAAAGTAAGCTTGTAGACACGAATAATTAGGTATAACTAATGTAGCCTTGGCATACGTGTTTGACGTCGAGTCACAGAGGTGGGTGCATCATTAGTTGCTTCGACTTGTAGATAATTTTTGGGTAGTGATGTTAATTGTTCGCTTGCTCACTTTTTTGGTGTAATGCAAGCGTTCTTAACAACTGCGGACATTCAAGAGAAGCGGTCACTGTTTTGCAATGGCCATAGCCTTTAGTAACCATTTTGTATTCATATTTAGTCAAGGATTTCCCGCATGTGATTGAGTTTGTGACTTTGCGAATGTGTGTATGTGTATGTGTGTGCGCGTGCTGACCGCTACGGTGCGCTCGGTGCGTATTTGACCAATGGCTATTGCCCCTATAACATAGGTAAAATAAAGTGGTTTTCTAAGTGTGTTTCTGCGAGTCATGTTAAGTTGCCCCACTCATTCTACGCGTCTTGATGAAAGAGTCGCAATAATTGTTAACGGAATGCCATGCAAGCGTTGTGTCAAATATGATCAAAAGCACACAAATTACAGCTTTTGCTCTCATAAAAACCAAACCGTCGACCTAAGGTCAAATTTGACAACATATTAGCGACGACCAGTTATCAAGAGTTATTGAATGCGTGTTTCGTTTATACGGCACTCTAGCTTTATCAATTCGAAAACAGGTTTGAGTCAGTTGTTCAAAAGATTTCAAAGTTTTAGAAATTTTACTTTCGATAATTTCTAGTAGCCTGACCTTAAAATTGCTGAAGTTTTTTTTTACAGATGATAGACGCCTTTTCACTACACCGCGCTGCTTACTTACTGCTTGCCGCTACGTGGCTCCAGAAGCCAAGGCCAGGGCGTGAAAATTCAGGAGAAATTGTGGGACGGGGATTGAAAAGCTTCTTCTTGAATGCAATTCCTTCCTTGATTCAGGCCGACGTCCAGAATAATCAGCATGTAGTATTAGTAAGCAGTAAGCACAGAATTGTTGAATGGTTCATGATTCAGCCATCAGACGACAGTCACGCTCGTGTGATCCTTGTCTGGCTCGTCGCCCGTGGTTGGCCACTGCTCCGCCTTGCAGCGCGCGTCACATATCCGGTCGGTCGACTTCCGATCCGATTGACGTCAGCGCACCGCGTATCAGTCTGTTCCGGGGACGGCGGTCACAATCACCACAAACGACGGGCGTCCTCTGCACGGAGTGGCGCACTCAGCTGCGCCCACCCTACCACAACTGACAGCTGAATACACTCGCGGCTTTTGACTGTCATCTCTCCACCAACAACGCACGAACTGCCGCTAGATTGACTCTCCTTATTGCTTGCATCGTTAGCCACATGGTTTCCAACTTCTAATTTTGTACTTAGACTGCCTTTGTCGCTTTTGTACTTATCTGCTGCATCCTTCTTTTCTTTCACTAATGCCTTCCCTCCTTTCCTCATTTTCCGCCCCTTGCCGAGTCTTGTCTAATTCAATTGGCTTCATTTCCGGGCTGTGTCAACTACAATACCTTCTCTGGAATGAAATCGGCGCCGGGAGACCGCCGTGTCGGCACGTTCAGAGAGGCTCTCGGCCACGCAGCCGACGGTCGCCAGTTCAGTGTCATTGTCCGTGGGTGGGAGGCACCAGACGGATCAGCCGGCGCCCGCTCCTCGCGTGCCGGGCGGTCAGTTCTCATTGATCGCTCACGGGTGATTGCCAGCGGCGGCGGCCGGCGGAGGGGACCTGGATCGGTCACATGCCACAGGGAAGGGTTTGTCACCCGTCACCGGGAAGGGTTTGTCCCCGTCACCATAGAGATCTTATAATAATTATAATATTATAAGATCTCTATGCCCGTCACCGGAAAGGGTTTGTCCGCTGTCACCGGGAAGGGTTTGTCACCTGTCACCTGCTGACGGGTTACTTGCCGTTCCCTGATATTTTGGTGACATGGACTCTGGTCGGTAAATCTAGTTACAGTCGTGGATAAAACAATGCTCAAAGTTGTCAAAAAAGTTCCATCTTGGCTTATGAACGGCCTATTTAGAAGGACAGAATGTCAACATTGGCATGCTGCTGTTTTTTTTCGAGAACATCTTTTCATTTTTTTTTTCTGACGCGTTCGCAAAACAAGAAACTCTCCTTTTCAAGCACCAGAGAGCATTGCGTTCGGTGCAGTCCCTATCCTAAAAAGTGGCCACAAAAAAGCTGGTACTTTTTTGCCATCCTTCCACATTTGACGATACAAAGGATTTAATGATTGGCAGTTATAAGGCAGCTTTGATAGATGGTTATAAGTTTTCTTATCTATAACCGTGCGTGTAAAGCCTTTATTTCAGTAAGTCAATAAGATGTTTATTTAGAATACTATTTTTCATAACTATTGTATTAAACCTAATTGGAAGGTGATTTTTTGTCAATCCATCAACTGTTACCCACTATGCACACGATAATCGCACTTTTACTAGCCGCATGCAGTGTAGTGCAACAGTGCAGCAACGAACAGCTATCCTCGGGTGCGATTTTCGAGCAAAGAATATATCCCACCGCCGTTTCACCGCCGTTTCAGACGTCCCCCCTGCTTTTGTAACTGTTTCCCGTGCTGCACACTGCGGTGTCCGCCGGGCCCTCGCAGCCGCTCGCTGCGGTGTCCGCCGGGACCTGCGGAGCCGCTGCGGTGTCCGCCGGGTCCTCGCAGCCGCTGCGGTGTCCGCCGGACCCTCGGAGCCGGCTATATGGCCCGTGAGAAGCGTCCTGTGTTCTCTCCCGGTGAGTTTATGCGTTTCGAAATTGATCACCCTTGAAACTGGTCCGGCGTGTGGTCGTAATATTCGAATGGCGGAGTGTTTTGACTGCCGCCGGCGGTGAACACAGGCCGGAGACAGGCCAGGGATTGTGTCGGTGAATCCTCCCGGCATTGTGTCCTGTGCGGTGCCGTGGCGCCCTATAGGTTAGCAGAGAAAGGCTGCCAATCGTAAACGCCAGCTAGATTTACCTCGCCGTGAAAACGTAGCGGTGGCCAACTTTGGTTCGTTGGCCGCTGTTTTGAGCACATGCGTTGTTTTTTATTTCCAACCCCATTGATGTGTTCAACTTGTGGAATGTAAGAGGTAATATGGGGTTAGGGATGCGGGAACTACTTTCAGACTAGGGGGCACAGCATAATAGAGATAAACCTAGGGTACACCCAAATCTAGCTTTCTCACCGGTTTTAGGCCACTCATTTTTCATCCCTTGGCTTTTTCAACAAAAAAAGAAAACATTTGCATAAAAAGTGCGGTATTCCGTCTCAAAGTTGTGGGGGCACCGCCCCCCCGGCCCCAGAGTTGGGAGGGGGGGAATAGCCCCACTGCCCCCCCCCCCCCCGGTTCCCGCGCCTATGTATGAGGTCGATCTGCTTCGTGGAACGAAACGCGATAACTTCTGACCGTGATCAGTCAGCGGAAATGTTAAATACGCTTGTCGCGTCAGCTACGATAAGCGTGTCACAGACGGAAGCGCTACCAGATCGCTGATGAAACTCCTCTTGACCACCCTAAAACATCCCCCAGGAACGCATACTGTATCGATGACCGGTTGGATATAGCACCGCTGGTCCGCTGCTCTCATGAGTTGCGTTTATATGGCGTTTTTGACGAGTCTCTAGCTCATTTATTTTTGCGATAATTTCGATGCAGTGATCTTTGCGTATTTAGAGGGATATCTTTGTAAATCGTCAAGCACCATTGGCATCTTTTGTAACATAACGGGTGGAGCTATAAAAGCTTTTAGCTTGCAACAATCCCTATGTAAACTGGGCTATGGACTTCCCTACAGCACGGCTGGTAACGCTTCTTCGACTTGCGTACAGGACAACGTCTTCGAATCGTTCATGGAAACGTGCGAACATCAGCTCAGAGCAGCAATTCAATCGAAACGCGCAAAGTCTTCGCTGACAAGTGGATGATATCACTAGGCAGGGATGCCAACGATTTAACCATAACCTTTGATCTGACTGAAAATATGGGAGATGTCTCTCCCGTCCCTACTGACGCCTGGCGCCAACTGCCGCCACTCTCCCCTAATTACTTATGTCAGTGGTTATCTGGCCTCGCTACACGCTAGACTGGAAACATTAATCTACATTTTGCATGTTATGACTAGGACTACTACCATACCCACAAAATGGCGATGTCGGGGCTTGATAACATCCTTGTTTGCTATGCCTCGCCATGGGGAAGACTGCGTGCCTTATGGAAGTTAGGGCACGAGCAAGGTTCCGGGCACCGCCAAGTATGCAATTACGACTAGTAATTAGAGTAACAGCGGTACAGGTGAATAACCAGTTCTCATCTGCATGCAGCATGGTCATTGGTCAGGAACGGCATTCTGCTTATCAGTAGTGGAATACACTTATAAAATTGCGCCTTTGTTGGTGTGTTTTGTTCGCCATCGACCAGACAGCTGCGGTTGCCATGCAGGGCGTGTCAGCTGGTTGCCGAGACGATAATCGCGATGGGGTACGTGCAGGGGACTGGACTGCGCCCCACGGCACTGCCGGACCAGGTCACAGCCGGGTGCCGGTCCGTCGGCTCCAGCTGCCGGCAGGCATCAGCGGCGGACGGCCGACCGGTCACACGGCTGCAGACCAGCGCACTGGCCAGACGCATTAGCGCCATCCAGTGGAACGTCAGGTAGGCTGTTTCTTAGTCTCAGGTCTTCAGTTTGTAAATGCTTTTACAAATATATGAACATTGAAGTCTTTTGGCGTGACTGCAACCATTGTCGGGTGGACTACCTAGGTAGGGTAGGGAGGGGAAATTTGAACATATTTTTACGTCTTCTCCGTTGCACCAAATTCCAACTCAACCCTGGATGAAGAAAAACTGTTTCAGTAGCGCAGATGTCGCTTCCTTTCACCATGCAACCCTCATTTTTTGGACGAGCCGAGCGTACCTTGGATAGCATAGCCTTTTTTCTCCACCAAGTCACGGTGTGTTTAAATTGCCCCACCGTGGGGTAATTTGAACATACTGCCTTTACCTGCCATAAAAACGATAATCTCGCCGGTACCGATGTTGTTTGATGCATAAACAAATTAGCAGACCAATTCTAAACATACCTTCATTTGAAAAATCAACAAAACAACAAGCATAACACTTGCAAGAGTATCAATATCTGCATGCTGCACACCGGTCAGTTGACAGAAGTCGCCTCTCTTCAGTTAACAGAACCGTTGTTCGATGAAAAAAAAATCCTTGCCACAGCTGGCTTCCCCGCCCATCGCAACCTATTAGACCAATTATAAGCAGAAAATAAAATATGAGGGTGCAGGGCACTTGTCGATTTGTCGTGGAAAGCCCCACCTTCGACAAAAACGAGGCCAAAGCGATGCAGTCCGCAGCAGGAATCGATTCCTGCCGCAACGTACATTTTTAAGTGTAAGACAGCTTAACG